ATATCTATAGTTAGAGAGAATTTAAGAAAAGGCTTTCAACTATAAAAAGTTCTAAACAGCTAAGGAGGATTAATAGAAAATAAGAGAGGGTTAATTAAAAGTATCAGTAAAATTTTTAATTAGCAAGTTACTTACACTAAAAAATCCGATTGATAGAAAGCAAATCAAACTTATGGTAATTAATTTTTTCCACTTAGTCAAATTTTAACGAGTAAAAGAAGTTGAAATCATCTGACTTCTTTTTAATTTTTTTGATCTTTTTGAATATGCTTCTAAACTACTTTCAAAATTAATAAAAGATTGCTTTTTTTCTAACTACTTCATCTTTTTTGGGTTATTTTAAGAATTTTAGTGGTTTTCTTTTTCTTCGTTAGTAATTTGTAAGAAAAATTAAGTTGAAATAAAATCAGTTTGTAGCCAAGATGATGATGGATCTTTAAGAGTTTGAACAAACTTTTTATAAATAGCTGAGTTATTTTCACACTCAAATACTTATATTCTTGCTATAGTCATCAAAATTTTTTCTTAGTATTTCTAAATTAGCAATATTAAATAAACAGCTAGTGAAAAAATAATAAAATAAATGAATAAAGTTAAGCTGATAGTTAAAATATTAAAATCTTTGAAATTATTTTGATTTTGTGTACCTTATTAATAAACATTTTCCATATTTATTTATTGATTTTCTCTAAAAAGTATCATATTTTAAATTAAGTAGAACAGTCCATCAATTTAATTTTGTTAATTTTTTAAATTTATTATATTTTTAAAATTCAACATATCAAATTCAAAACTATTTCTTAATAATTCAGAGTATCCTTTCCTAATTATTTTAAAAAATAAAATTAATTTCTGAATAAAATTTTATATAATTTCTCCTTAATTAATTATTTTACTTTTAAAAATATGATTGAAAAAATAATATTTTTATTTATTTAATTTTTTTAAAATTTAAATATTTTTTTACATTTTAAAATAGATTTTTAAAATGTTTGTTAATTTAATAACTAAATGATAAAATTTTGTTTGAAAATATTTGCTTTATGACAAGAAAAAATTTAATTTAATTAAATGTAGCTATTTACTTATTATTAAAGATTGTTACTTAAAAATTTTATTGCAAAAACAGGCCATTAGAGATATAGTTAGACATAAACTAAATATAACTATTCTTAAAGCTTTAAACTGATTAAATTAGCTATTGGTTCAATTAATTTTATTTGCTCATAATTGATTCGATATTGAAGAATAACCCGTTATTTACTTGGTACAATTACAAGCTAGATAAAAGAGCTATAAAATATTGCTAGTTAATTTCAGAAATCGAATTAATTACAGAAAAAGTATCAGTCTCTATATTAAACTTAGTATTAATAACTATACTATAAATTACAATCAGAGAAATAAATGCTATTATGGCAAATACTTTTAATTATTTAAATAAAAATATAAAATTATTTTAATTTTTTTATTAAAATAGCTAGTAATTTACATGATATTATATTGAATATCTCAACAGTAATATGTGATTTAGATTTATCTTCAATTTGATTTATTAATCGGCCTTTAGTTTTTAATAGTAATGAGCTGAGAGAGTGTTAAGACGAGTTTTTTGTTTATAAATTTTAAAGATGTTGGAATACTTTGTTTTTATTCTTAAAATTTTATTCATTTACATCTTTAATTTTATTTTCTAATTAATGTTAACTTTATTAGTTGAATTAAATTTCATCGCTTTATTTCTTTTTTTTTGTATTTTAAGGAGAATTATCACTTATTTTTTACTCTATAAATACTCTCGATGTTGAAACTGTTTAATTAAGCATCTATGCTTAATTAAAAAACTCATCTTTCTAAGGATTAAAATTAATTTCTTAATAGATAGTTTTATCCATATTAACTTTGCTGATATTTAATTTACTTGTGTGCATTATTAGGTCTATCTTACTTATATCTCTTTATTATTCTTAATTTTTTATATCAGATGATATTTTTATCAAATCTTCATCATCATCGTCAGTAGATTTCTTTTATAAAATTGGAAAACCATTCTTTGTTAACTTTTTTGGATCCGACTCAATTATGTTTTGAGTATTCTATTAAACAATAATCATTAATTAAATAATTTCTATTAAATATTTTTTTTAAATGCAATTTTACTTTTTGAATCATATTAAAAATCATGTTTTCTTGTTAATTGTCTTTTTGTTCATCAAAAGCGAAATTTTCTTTTTCTGTAATTTAAGCTATTGTAGAAGACTATAATAATGGAACGGATTAAATTTAGCTATCAGTTTATCCTTAAAAATAAGGTGAAGCAAACAAAGAAGGAGAATCATGTGTTTAAACATTTAAATTTTTAACACCATTATTATATTAATTAATTTTTTAAATTAACTCATTTTAATTCAAGTTAGAAGGATATATCTGATCAACAAACTCAATATCTTCTTTTTATTATACTTATTTTTTTTATTATTCAGATGAAAGAGCGATATTCTCATATATTAAATTATGTGTATTAGTTAGAGATATAAAATCTATTTACTTTTTGTAATCTAAAAATAATTTATCTTTAATTTCACTATTTTCTTTTTAATCTTCTGACATATTTGTTTAAAATTTTTAAGAATAATGACTGGATTCAATAGTGTTCTCTATTGTAGTCACATTCTCTTGATCTTCTTAAAGATTATTAGTTCTTAAAAAAGGATTAAATAATTTTGTGTCATTTTTATTTTAAAAGGCATCTATTAGTTCTAAACAATAGAAGGACCTGGTTTTTTGAACATGATTTTATTCATAGAAGTAAGAAATAAGTTATAAGTTAAAACAAATATCTAATTCCCTAAACAAATTGTTACTATTTTCATAAAACTTTTAAAAAGTGTTTAATATTTTGAATTTATCAAATTAAAATAACTAACTAAGAAA